CTTGTTTGTGATTGTATCATCAACATTAGAAGTGCACAATAAACAAAGTATAAATGTTAATTATAATACTTCTTAAACAAACAAAAAACACACTCCAAAGACAAGCTGGTAGGTTAATTGGCTCCTGTCTAAATTGGCCCCCCTATGTATGCATGTGAGATAGGGACCTTAGATTGTTAGCTCCTTGAGGGCAGGGACTGATGTAAATGTGCATTGTGTAAAGTGATGTATAAATTGTCAGTGCTTTAGAAATACCAATAATAAATAAAACACTCAGCTTAAAAAAAGCAGAACTACAAGTATTTAGCAATAATATAGAAAACACGCACGGTGAAGACAATCAAAGCCAATGATGACATTTCTCTATCCATCAGTTATAAGATTTCCAGTAAACCCTTTTTACAGAAAATCACCCTTCACAGCTGGCCATGCTACGCTGCATATCAGGGTCACTGGCATGTATAAGTATCAGATCTACTGTTTATAGTTAGGCATCTGGGTATTTCAAAGATAATGGGTCTCTCTCTCTTCTGTAACTGTATCATTGCTGTAAAAACCATCATCCATATCTTCCTGATAATGCATCCAGTATTCTTATACTGACCCTACTAAGCTGTGCGGAAAACAGTTCATGTAGGAGAAAAAAAGTGTGGTTATCGTGTCTACATGCGATACATTTTTACAGATTAGTAGAAAATTAAAGGGGATTTCCAGATCTAAAACAGAAAATCAGCCATCTGCTTCAAACTACCTTACAAATAAATATGGAATTCAGAAGCAAGGCTGTCCAGTCTAAGAGGCCAAGACACAAATGTCAGTGAAGTCAGTGACGTATTTTCAGCTGGTTACCTGTCTTTTGGGATCTGATCAGACTGGACTACCCTCCTCTGGACCTCTTACAAACAGAGCAAGCTGTTGCTTACAGTTTATGCTGAAATCTAACCATTCAGATATGCTGCTCATTGAGCAACACACTTCTAAATGGTTGAGTTGCATTAGTAGAGCTCTCCAGTAGGCGAGCATGCAAGCCAAACTCTGTTTTCAACCTCTGTAACAAGTCCACTCAGTACTACCACAAGTAAGGGTCTGTAGCAGATGTCTCCTATTTACCTTACTGGTCATGTATTTCATAACTTCAGCTTCCTGTCCGGCCGTTGTAATTAATCGGGCGGCCGGGAGCTTTACATTCAAGCGATCGTGCGTCTCTATAGACGCCCGATAACTTGTATTAGCAGCAGCTGCCACTGCCGATCCGAGACCCGTTGTGCCCGATGCGGCTGGGACAGGCACGGTTCTGTGACAGGAGACAAATACAGGAAGTTATGTATGCTACATCACTTCCGCATTCAGCTGTCACTCTCCAGCTTTAGAAGCTGGTGAAGCAGATCTCTGCTTCATCCGCTTCTCTGGGGGTCCCTAGGTGACATTATGGCCATTTTGTCGGTGTGTTTTTTTTTTCGATTTCGCGGGCGCACGCATTTTTAAAGCTAGACATGTTTTGTGTCTATTTACCGGATGTGACCCCGTCTTTTATATTTTACCAAACATATGGGTAAGAATAAATGCTTTTTAAATTTTTCAAGCCCTGCAGATACTACAAAGAATTGAAATTACAAGGAATTTATATATACACATTAAACTAGGGAGATATATATGACACACACACACGGTATCAATTACTGATACTTTATTTTAGTGTCATGCGACAGTTTTTCTAAACAATAGAGTAATGATTTTAGGACAGTGATGGAGTGCCAGTGCACAGTCACAGCTGCGCCCCTGGTAGTTCCGACACTGACTCCAAGATGTAGTGGGACTACAAATCTCTGCAATACATTATATAGCAATACAGAATGGCACCAGCTATAGAGGACTACAAATCTCTGCAATACATTATACAGCAATAAGATGCATGCAGAATAATATGAAGCTACTGTACATACTCTGTGTTGCTCAGCAGGTATGTGCGGCGTCTCGCAGGTGCGGGCTGATGCAGGTGGCAGGAGGAGGAGGCAACGTGCGGCCTGACCGATGCTGTAAGCAGCGCCGCGAAGGTCCCCACAAGGTCTGCCATGAGTTCCCCAGCAAGTACGGGACCTTACAGCAGCCTCCTGTGTTTGAAAATTTTAATTGCTGGAATCGGCGCTTAGTATCAGAGCATTTTCATGAGTACTCATGAGAATGTCCAGTATTGGTACATCCCTACATAAAACACTAGTGAACAAAATGTATCAGCCACCACTGTTTACATTTCATTATGAAAAAAAACATGCAAAAATGGATAAGAGCTAGAGAGAACATAAAAATATTGATCTGAGCACTACTCATTTGAGCCTCTTTTAGGCTTGCGGCACACATGAAAATGAAGTGTGGTGACAAACATAATGCAGGTGTAAACAATATAAATTAGACAGCATTAGCTTGGTTGTGTGCTTAAGGCCCTTTTCACATGAGCGGTCTGAATGGGTCCATCCATTTAAATCTGATTTCCCATAGACTGACATGGGGTCCGGCAGTTTCAGTTCTTTCCTCCGTCACAAGGTGGAGGAAAAAAAAACTGTACGGACACTGATCCACTCAGTACTACTCTGATCAAGAGCAGATCCATGCACGGATCACCTCCTGATCAGCCCGTGTGAAAGGGGCCTACAGCAAGTGTATAATGCTGCAAGTGTTAAGGGAAACAAATAGTCAGTGGAGAGGGTGCTGGGAGTCAAAGCAAAATAGCTAAATGGAATGTTTCTCCCAAGCCGCTGGCTGGGGAACACTACCTCATATGGATCATTTGCCTTCTAAAGTACTTCTTGGTACTTTTTAAAATGCCATCAAATACTTCATATCAGGACATCACTTAAGTTCAGATTACCTTCACAGGATCTTTGCCAACAGTTAAAAGACAAACAGCCAAGTATAGCAGTGAACAAATATGTGTAGTACTGTGTAGCCATTTACACAATCCTGCCACAACATGTAGCCATCTTTATTTAGAGCCAGCAGTTTTACCTTCCAGCCTGGTGACTGAACTATGAAAGATCATTACCCTGGTGAGATTAAGCCTTCATTTCTTTCCCTCGTATACCCCCTTCTAATCAACACTTAGACCCCAGTTTCTGAAACACATTAGGGTAACAGAAATGCAGTTTGATCGAAATGGCGTATAATTCGGACACTGCAGCTTTCATACTTATTATACTTATATCTGTAAGTATACTTACAAATATTAAGTAAAATGCTAGAAGTATTTAATACAGTTAAAATTAATTTAAAAAAAATACATAACTGGACGAAAATGGTGTATGTTACCTTTGCCTGAAGTTTGCCTTTAAAGAGATCCAACTTAAAAACTCAGGTAAAATCAAGTATTACATGCTAATATACATGCTTACTTGTTTTTCCTATCTATAAAATATTTATGTAGCTGCCAGGGGAGTAGCAAATCAGAACACTATAGAGCAGGGCTCAACAAAGCCCATATTCCAGGTGCCATGGCGACTAGAAATTGCGCCCCTGACACCTCCAGTGCTGCGGTCTGTGTCCCCTTCAATTCCTGCCTGTATCAGCAGAGACAGCGGGGATCGAAGGGGACACAGGCAGCTGCAGAGCAGGGGGTGGATGCAATAGCCAGCCTGCTGTTGGCTACTACAATTTAAAATAGCCAATAGTAGGCCGACTATTGCTCCCAGCCACTGCCTGCTGTGTTTACATTCAGTCCTTCCCCAGCTAAAGCTAATGAAGTGGAAAGGTGACATTAAGGGTCCCTAATGTCACCTTAAAGAGAACCAAAAGCAAATTTGTCAAGCCCTGCTGTAGATTGTCACTTGAGTGACAGCTTTGAGTCTGCTGACCATGCATGCAAAATTGCAGTGCCCAGTGGTAATCTCAGAACTTTTTAGAGGTGCACACACAAAGGAGGCTTTTAAAAGTAAACATGTGAACAAAACTTTTCATGCACATAGAATCTTAAAAGGGAATATTATTTTTTTGGTGACCAGGTGTCTTTAATTAAAGGTCTTTTCAGTCACAGAAAAGGAGGTCTGGCTCTTTATGACAGATTGTAAACAACAATGCTTATCGAGTTGCTAAAACAACAGGCAGACTCTGATTGTAATAAAGCATACCTGCTGTAGAAGTTAGTGCAAGTGAAAAGAAAGAATGCACACAAATGAAAGATCCCTCCAGCAGGACTTCAGTATCATGCCATGAAAGAGTAAGGGAATGTGGGAGATCGAAACGCCTGCATTGATTCTGCTTGCCCTTGATGGGATTTGATTGTTATGCTTCAGTGCGCTTAAAAAGGTTTCTTCCCAGTGTCCACTCTTTCACAAAAGGAAGGGCTGCACACAGCCTTTTGTCAAGGAAAAGGTTAAACAATTAAAATCTATGCCTGCTAAGAGTGCAAAAAACAGGCCTTCTGCATATGTAAGGTCCAAAAGCAAAAAAAAAAAGCCATAAAGAGTCCAGCACGCATAACAATTGCAACATCCACTACTAATGTAAATGCATTGCAATGCTATTTCTGCACCATGCACAATTAGTGCACTTACAACACACACAAGAGCAATGAAAGTGTAATCTAATGGCAAGAAATCTCATTAACTGCTAGATTCCTTTTATGACCTGTATGCTTGCTGAGATAAAGGTCTTGACACATTTATAAAATGGCAAGAGGAAAATGACACTAGATAATAGAGCAGATCCTTGTCTTTCATGTCTCTCACTGCTAAGAACTCAACTCTTACCTGGAGATAAATAAAAACACTTGACATTCCCATTTGTCAGCACTGTGAGAAATACAAAGTTCACTTAGGTTGTCTTTAAAGCCACAATCAAGATATTCATAAACCTGGTATATCCTCTCACGTCACATTGGCACAATTATAGGAAACAATGTTTAAGAGGACATTTTTCACAAAGGAGTACAGGAAAAAGAAATGAATTCAATACTGGCAGGTTGTGCAACCTCATGGCTGCTAATTGCATGTTATAATTAGCTGACATACCTGACTGAGAAGCTGACCATGAAAAATGGTGTTGACTACATTCAGGACCTGTTTGATGAGTTTTTTCTCAGAGCTGGGAACCAGGGTTGGGTACCTAGTCCCGGTTGTCTCCAGTTCCTGTTGTACTTTATCCAAAAGTTCACATAAAAATTCCTGAGCATCTTGTTGTGCATATCCACGAAAGGCTGGGATTAATCTCCACACTGAATGAAGCATGGCAAAGGGGGAGACTAGTGCCCACTTACCAGACCACATAACTTGGAAGAGAGTATGCAACTCGTGGCATAGGGAAATGTGCGTTGAGCTGGGTTTAGGTTGAATGAGTTCCATATTTCTACCTTTTGATGCCCCACCACTGAGGCCAGATGAGGAGCTTTGGCGCCTTACCAAAAGCCTTTCCACTTTACTGTGCTTTTTTGTTATTTTAGTAAAGTCTGTAGCAAGGGGAATTTGGCTGGATGATCTTGTTTTTCCATTGGCTGCAGCTGCTAATAGCTCCTGAGTTTGATTTAGGTCGAGCTGCAGGAAACATTCCCGGAAAACATGCAAATGACTCAAAATCTGAAGAATAGAATTCATATAGCAAGTGTTCCCCAGGTTCCTTAGTCCTGTCACCCCAGGGGTCATGGTGTTTTTTTTTTTAACTGGGGAATCACCTATGTTTTTCCTACAAGTGTCTTCCGAGGTAGATCCTGAAGGTTTTTGTTTTATGGAGGGGGTTGGCTTTTGGTGCTTTTGCTGCAGTGGTGGCGATGTCCCCCTTTGCAGCTGCTCTTGCAAGCGGGAGCTTTTACGTGGTGGAGTACTTTCCATCTCCTGCTTTAATTTGTGCTTTAGCATCTGACGCTTTTTCCTTGCTTCCTCCCTCCTTTGTTCGGTTTCTTCTATGAGGCGTTCTTCCTCCATCCTCTGTTTACCTTTGGGAGTCAAAGCAAACCAAGACCTAAACACTTTTCCCAATAGCGCATGTCTTCTATGCCAAAGGGCAGTAAATGTGAGGTCTTCATTCTGGAGCAGTGCTTTCGCACACTGATGTGACGTATATGTGTCATCCACAGCTACCATAGATCGCAGTGTTCGACCACTGCGTGTTGTGCAGTCATAGTTTTGACTTTTGATTGCACTTAATGTGCTACGTAAAAGTTTAAGGTCACCAGTGGCATTGTCATTGAGAACATAATCATCGCAAAGGTAACAGAAAACGTAGAGTTCATTCACTTCCAGTGCTATAGGATGCTTACTTTCCTGAAAGTGTTGCAGTGCATGTTCTTCAATATATCGCCCACATGCTACATGTGAACAGCTCAGGCAGGCCCACACTGACTCTGTAGTGTTACAGTCCACACAATGCCACTTTTGAGGGTTCAGTATCGAATGGTCTTGGGCGAGTCGCAGCCGACCCACATGTCTACACTTATCCATCTTCAATGTTCGGGATTTGAGATCAGCTACGGTGTGCCTCGTCTGTTGCTTTTTGCACATACATTCTGACCTGCAAACACAATAAATACAATAATTATAACCATATCGTAACAGTGTGTTAAAGCCGACCTTTACCCATATCATTAAACTAACAACAAACACCTAGAAATGTTTAGTGATGACAATCTACAAACACAATCTTCTAGATCAGGGATGTCCAAACTCCGGCCCTCCTGCTGTGGTAAAACTACAAATCCCATGAAGCATCTCTCTCAGTGAGTCATGTCTGTGAGAATCTTGCAAAACCGCATGGGATTCGTAGTTTCACCACAGCTGGAGGGCCACAGTTTGGACATCCCTGTTAGGTAAATAAGGTATGCAAAAGGTATCTTTTGCATGCCTTATTTCTCTTTTCATCCCCAGTCTTCTGACAGTGGCCATGTTTACTAAGGGCAGATTACTAGATATCCATTTACCTCCTGGACTTCTGGCACATGTGACTAGGACATGTGACCATGCACATCATCTCTGGGGAGGAAAATGCCTTTCACTGAGATCTCATGAGATTACAGAAGAGATTTCCCAGCAATGCTCTGCTGCCGACAAGGCAATCCCAGTGTGCATTGCTTTGGTCATTTTGCCCTTTCAAAGCAGGAAGTGAATGCTCTGCAAGTGTAAGTATTTCATAATCACAGCATTTTACACCTGACATATCAATGTTATTATTAATCATCATACATAGAGGGATGTATTGGTAGAATTTGATTTTTGAGTGGAAAGGTCTGCTTTAATGACCGTTAGTTTAGTCATCGACTGGGAAATACCAAACCTATTACTTTCAATTATTGTTAGACAGACTTCTAATATACAAGAACAGAACGATTCTCACAGCATGTGCAAAATTGCTTATTAACTTAAATATATATTTCACATTTTCACAAAAAAAGAACAGATATAAACGTGAAAATAAAATAAAAAATGCTTTCATCTCCAGACACCTATATATGTAAAAAGGGGGAATGGATTCTCCACAGGCTGGAACGCTCCTAGCTGATTTCAAATTAATCCAGTGGAAAGAGCGAATGTATTAAATGACATACCACTGAAAGACAGCTGTGCTACTAGTGATTTTGACTCCAGTTGGCTGACAGCGTATGTGGTGTAAACATCAGTTATCGCAGGAACTACAAAGGTTAACCAAAATGTTGATTGGTCAGGCTGTATAGATTTTCAAAAACCGGTCCCATTATGACTGCACTGACCATCCTATTATCCTCTGGGTCTGATCATTCCATGAAATGTAAGTCTGCTGTGTATAGAAAAGATGTTTTAGTGGTTGACGCGTTTCTTTTAATGAATGACCAACAACTCAACTAAATAGTAGAGCTGCAACAATTATTCGATTAAGTCGATTAAAATCGACGATGGAAAACGTTGTCAACGTTTTCCATCGTCGATTCGTCGGCTAAAATTCAAATGTCCCGCTCGCCGCTGCTCACGCACGCTGCTTACGCCCGCCGCTTACGCCACGCCCACGTCAGTTAAGCCGCTCGCGCCTACGCTGGTGTCACGCGACGCCGAAGATAGTACAAAGCTATGAATCGAATTCAGTAAAAACGCAGAGAGACAGATGACTGCCGAACCAAAACACATGAAATATTGGTAAGCTAGAATTAACCCAGCCAAGTCAACACAGCAAGGACTATTCTGGGAAAAGCCAATACTTCAATCACAGCTATATCCAGCATGCACAGATTGGGTCACACATGTATTGGCACATGAAGAATCATATAAACTGGATTGCCTGCTGAAAATGATGGTAGTGATATGCACAAGATTATACTATGATTTCTGGTGTTCTATAGTCACCAAGTATACCTTAGAAATTCAAAATAATAGTTATGATGAACATTTGAAAGGCATCACACTAACAAAAACATGTATTTAATGCAAACACTTGGTAAAGCTGCAATTTAAAAAAAATCATTATCTACCCTATTTTAGACCCAGTGCTTCTCTATGCAATGCAGGCACTTAATGGTGGGTTGGAGGAGATGGCAGGCTGCTGTATATAATTACCTTAAAAACACCACAGCACCCTGCCTCAGAGCTGCAGAGTTCTTATGTCTTTCATGTCCCAAGAGCTGCATAAATAGCCCTAGCAATAACGGGTCCCAGAATTCTTTCTGTATTTTGTTTACTTTTATTACACAGAATGCAACAGCATGAGAAAACACAGTTTGTAGCTATGCAAGGACAAGCTTCGGAACTAAGGCAGGGAGATCTTACTAATGTTGTCTCCAAAGAGTATTACAAAAAAAAAAAAAAAGTCAGCCGGTAACTCATACCCCAATAATTAAAATGTGTCTTTCAGGTCAACCAACCATTTAACCCATCTGACTAGTAGTGCTGGCTACTGTAAATATGGCCTGATCTTATAGCCAACCCAATGACACAACACATGCCAGTCACTTAAATCATCTCCGAGTACCACATGAATACAGATGCATGTTCTCCCCAACCCAATAGCTTCTCAGGGCTTATGTAAGCGTTAGAGAGCATACAATGTACAACTGTACAAGGATTGCTGTTTGGATTAATACTATCTGGTTTATTTACGCAAAGAGCAACCAGAAATTACTCATCACTGGCCTGATTCTAGTGAAAGGATATTCCACTTTCATCAGTGTCACAGACCAAAACACCTGTGAGCCTAGGCTAATGGAAGCTGCCATTACTTCCTCTAGGGCAGTGACATAAGGTGAACCCCTGATTTGACTTGGCTTACAGCCATCACCACATGTCTTATTTCATCAGCTTAGTATACTGTATATAGTCTTAGAGCAGGAGAAGAATGTAATGCTCTCTACCTATTGAACACAGTAAGTATATTATATAGTATGGACCACAAGGAATGGCTGCTTTCATAAGGGGGTGCTGGATAGCTAATTAACCTAACAGTTTCCATCTCCAAAGGAATCTGGTTGTGGGATGTCTCGACAGCGGCTAAAGCCATCAGAAGGGGCCCCTTTTTCTCTTTTCATTAAATTCATTCATTTTTATATTATAACGAATTCAACAGGATTAGTGGGAACTCCCAAAGTGGGCCGAAACAAAGCCAGGAACTTCAAAAAGGAGAGCTCACCTACAGAATACATAAGGCCCCGTTCACATCAGGGCGTTTCGTTGCGCATTTTTTTTCCACACTGAAAATATTTTTAAATAGTCCATGAGGTTCGTTTATAGCACTTATCAGCTCATTTTGCTCCATAAACTTCAATGGAAACGCGCCAATCAGCACGTTTTTACGCTTTGTTTTAGCATTTTTGCCGCCGACACTGCTTTTCATGGGATAACTGAAAACAAGCCTTAAAGCTCTTACATGTGAACAGAAAACGCCTGTAAAATGCGCTGAAACGCACATTAAAAAAGTGCAAAACCACACTAAAAAAAGCACAGAAACCTGGTGTGAATGGGGTCTGAGAGATAAAAAGCCTGAAGAGGACTTCCCAGAAGACTCAACCTGCACGTGAAATGTCACATTGGGTAGAATGACCCTTTAAGTTTAAAGTGTATGTAAAGCCAATACATTGTGTGAAGATTGCCTTCAGCTATCCAATCAAGTGAAAAGAAAATCCCTGTTTACTTATTTTATCTGCACGATTGGATAATTTGAGTGAATAGTCACACAATTCATTGTGTGAGCATTCTCAAATCTTATAACAAATCAGCCACAAGGAGCTTGAGAAATATTAGTCCGCATTCACACTAAGCGATTTGTAGCGCGATTTCCGCTCAAAAAAACTAAATTGTTCAAATTGCTCAAATATGAAGCTCAATGTAGCTCGTCCAATGCATTTCAATGGAGATGTTCACATCTTGCAGCTCAATGTCGCCTGTAGCATTTAGCTGAAGCTTGTCGCTCAAACATGAGCTATTTTTCAATGGATTCCGAGCTGATGTGGCCCCAATAAACTTTGATAGACTGCCAAAAAAGTGCTACATAGCGCGACAAAATGTGCACATGTAGCTCAATGTCGATCAACTCAAATCAGCGTTGAAAAAGCGTTTATTTTGTTGTAGCTCAGTGTGAATGGGATCTTAACTTGGTGATACACTGCTGACTTGGTGAAATTCAAGCAGTGTGTGATCCTGTCAGCACCACTCTGGTCATTAAAGGAGCCGATCTGAATATTCTGGGCTGAACAGACACTACAAGGGGAGGGGAAATGTTTTGCATGGATGGGGTAATCAAGCCCATGGGGCTGAACAATAAAAAAAAAACACTCAGTATATGGCCAGATTTAAGATCTTGGATGACAAGCTTTTCAGCATGCTGAAAGACCTTCTGCAGTTGTGTTTACATATTTGTATTTCAGAAAAGCCCATTTGTACAGCACAATGACAGCACAAGACATTGGCAGGCCAACAGAAATTCCTGTTTGTTGATGCAAACTACTAACCAAGTGCACTTTTTGATGCTGGTATTAAATTATGAATCTCAGAAAAAAGAAGGACCAACCTATTAGAACACAAGATAAGATACTATAACACAGACAAGAACCCAAATACTCAGAAGATATCTCACTTTTATGCCAAGGAGCAAAGCAGCTGTGATGTCTAATGCTTGTCATACACTGACTGAATTTCCTCCGACTCCTCCTGAATCAACTTTATTTTGAGCTGCGAGTGGCCCTGCCAGCACTATCTGGCTCGGGTGAAATATTGTCGGCCGAACAGTGATTGCAGCCAATCAGCAGCATTTACTGTTTAGGTATTCAGACAGCAGTGGGCATATTCTGACAGCAGGGAGAAGAGATTCCTCTACCACACTACTTAGCATGGATAGAGGAACCTGTTAGATTCCTTACTGAGGAAATCTAGACATGGCAGGCTTAACACTACACAGAGGACAGAACTAGAGGGTGAATTTTTTAGATCTCTCTACTTACTGTCAGTGAAATGTCAAACAAAGGACACACCAATATCTCAATATACCAAAAACAGGTAAGCGCACACACACTATACTGGTGGTAAGAGCCTGAAACATTGTACAGAACAGACTTGGTTCCCAACACTTCTTTGGGTTACACAGAAACATCATGTTATAAAGAGGTAGTGGTGGATTTTAAAGGCACAAAGCAGAAGCAAAAAAATTATGTAACCTAGCAAAACCATTCCTGAATTAAAGATGCCCCAAAAATGCAGTAATAAAATAAGAACGGATTACACCTAGAAAACAAACCCTAAAAAGATAGGCAACAGTTGTAGTATTGAAGGAGCATTGGCTAACTGGCTCCTGGAATTTGTCCAGGCCTGGTATATAGTAATACACATATACAAACTGAAATGTATTCCTATATGACAGATAACATATATTTATTCAACGGTAAATTAAACCCTCGCATATTTTTGCTTATATCTCCTGCTAGCAAGCAAAGATATACTGTATGTAAAACTACTAAAAAAAAAAAAACTTTTTCAATGGGTTAATACTTACCTGTGGATTCCCTGCGCGTTCCCGTCCAAACATCTGGAAATTTCCCGGGCGGGCACATGCGCAGTTCAGATGGGAGACAGAGGAGTCAGCGCTGGATCGGAGACCAGCACCAATGCTGGAGGGACAGATGAAAAGGACAGGAAAGAAGAAGATGATCGGATTAAGAGGCATCATTTAAGGTAACTCAAAAGCAACGACCTAATATACTGCCGAATACCAAGCCGCAAATGAGTTGCTTGCATTGTTTTAATTTTCACCTGGTGATCCAGCTAGTAAGTCTGTTACTTTTCAACTTCCTCTAATAGACCAAATTGTCCGGCAAAAGTGACAATAAGGCTTCATTTCACACTGTGTGCAATTAGATGCTTGTATTTGCATTTAAAAGCTTTTGTAAATGCATATAATGAGTTCCAACAGTTATATTCACACCTTGCATCTAGATGCTTTTATCGGCAGTCAGTTTATCTGCGTTTTCAAAAAATAGAAGTCCAGTGCATCTAGGAACCAATTTGGACTTCTTAACAAACCAAAACGCATCTAGAAGCATAAACACAGCATCTAGGCTGACAGATTTTCTTCTGTATATAGGGGACAAAAACACAAGTAGTAAGTGTGAATGAAAACTTAGGGGGATGAGATAAACCATTTAAAGTGACACTAAACTGAGGCGTTACATCTTAAAAATGTATACAAGTATTGTAACTAATAACAAAAAAGTATCTTATTTGTGTATCACTCAGCTGTAGATCCTCAAATCATCTCCAAATATGTGCTGACACTGTCCTTCCTTCTGGAGGGTGGTTACTTTTGTTCCACAACGTCCATGTGTGTGTTGTAAAATAGCCACCGCTCCAAGCTCACTCCTGTGATGGACTACAATAGTTTACTAATTTGTATTGAAATTATAGTCTATCACAGGAGTGAGCTTGGAATGGTGACAACTTTACAGCACACACAGGGACCATGGGGAACAAAAGTAGTCACCCTCCAGAAGGAAGGAAAGTGCAAGCACCAATTCAGAGATGATATGAAGATCTACAGCCCAGTGATACAGAAATAAGATACGTTTGTTAGTAGTCACTTGAATGTATTTTTAAGAGTTAACTCCTGCGTTTAGTGTCACTTTAACACTGACAGCAAATCATTGGTTTTTATTAATTTATGTAAAGCCATTATCCCAAGAGAACAAATAAACTGTTGCTGTAATGGCTTAAAAAGTGTTGTTATCTGAAGTCCGGCTTTAATATGTTAGTCAAGTCCATCTAACACTACCCTCCCAGTCCTGCGGTCCAAGGGTGGCTCTGTTGCTTCTCCATAGAGTGGAGCCATTAGGGTACACACAGATTTTCGAATGTTCATATAAAAAATCTCCTAAGAACATTCGATAATACCATCAGAGACTTGACAAAAGCCGAACGAAATGTTACTTTAACATTCAATCTTGGTATGAGTGGAATTTCCCGAACGAAAACCACATGCATTGTTAGAATTTCGTTCAAGAAAAAATTTCCCAACATGCTTCTTCAAATTAGTTCATCATTGCAGTCGAAATTGATCACTGATCTGAACCCATCAACGATTAGAAAGTCAAAAGAACGTTCCAAAATCAATTTTGTTTGTTCGAAATTCTAACCATGTATACCCTACCCAAGACAGGAAGAGTGTCGCTGTCCCGATCATCGGGTGAAAATAAAGGTGAAAAAAAGAAAACTAATGCAGCCACTGCATCAAAATGATTGAGCAGCTGCAATAGGTTAAATTTTTTGTTTTTGGGTTCACATACACTTTAACCACAATGCTCTATTGTGATAGCAAATGCCTCTGTGTTGTATAAGTGAGAAAAGAAGGATGTCACTGCTTACATCCACTGTCACCAATGGAAGCAAACAGATGAGAAAAAACACTTTTTATTCACTACACTCACATAACACAATGTGGGGAAGAAAATCAAAACATCACCATATGGCTTATCTGTTTCCTTGATTCTTCTGGTGTACTCCAGATCCCT